GGGCCAGAGCTGGTCGTAACCTGAAAAATTCGCAAGCAGAGGCGTTCGTATCCCGAGGTATCACTGTATTTCCTTTCCTGTTTCAAGGCTCAATATATACTCCTTTCTCTTTCTTCCATAGGCTTACCTGGCCTTAAAGGTGTATTGGGAGTCCAGGGTCCTCAAGGCTTTCATGGTGACCCTGGTGTCCCAGGTCAATCTAGTACAGCTCCAGGAAGGCCAGGATCTCCAGGATTACCTGGTTTTCCAGGAATACCAGGAAGCCAAGGCTTGCCCGGACCACCCGGTAAGATAAGCCAAATATTTGAGCATTGCATAAGAATTGGATTAATAATTCCAGGATATCACCTGATAGCAGTTAACATTTCCTATAACATTTCCTCTATAATAAGGAATATGAATATATTTTAACTAAGTAGAACACAGTTTTGGATATAAAATCAGTCTTATTTTATCTATGGGGGTGGTGGCATGGACAGTATAGGAACAGGCTTATTTCTTCAGACATTTTCATTGTACAGTAGTCATCCTGGACTCTGCCCTCACTCAGCCTGTCCAGATAGAGAGGGAGTATGTGTGTGGTGTAGTACTTAAGGCGCTGGACTAGGAGCAGGGAAACCCAAATTCTGGCCCTCCCCTTGGAATGGAAGTTAGTTGGTTCACTTAGGGCCATTCTCTCTCAGTCTAGACTGGGAAATCAAAAAATCTATGTCTACCAGCCAGCACTGGACCAACATGGAAGATTATGGTCCACAACTATCAATGAAGAGGCCCCACCCTGCAGTGGACTGAATAATAATAACTCATACAGTTATGTGACATATTTGCAATGAAATTGGCAATCAAATGGGTTTGAGGCTTCATTCTCATCTGCAATAAAGATTTTAATCTAACCATGATGTATCTGTGGGGCTGCTAACAGGTTAAACTGAAAAGGCTGTAAGTGTCTGGAGACCAGTGATTTACTGCCTAGCCTACATATGTAGTTTGAAAAAGGTGTGGATGATCTCCCAATGGTTTCATGTAGACAGCAGAGAAGGGGTTGGTGCCAAACACTTTCTGGACATGATCCGACAGGAAAAACCAAAGATATGGTAAAACAATACCCCTAGGCTAAGTCCTGACATGTGATATGGAAGGTTGCTGTATTTATAGACAGTGAGAGCTCTGAGAAAGCTTCATATGTTTCCTATCCAGTTACTGGCACAAATAATACATCAAGATGACTAAAGTAATCTCAGTACCATATCCCAGCCCAAAGGATTTATTTATTTGTTTATACACACATACATACATACAATGTTGGTAGACTTCCCCAATAAATTAAGATTCTGGGTAGTGAACAATAAGGTAGGAATATAACCAGCCATAAATAAAATAAAGAACAATGATATTGATACTTGTATACCTAACTTAAGTTATAACTTAAAAAAAACAGACCCATGTGGCTCCCTACAATGGAGTAACCAGGAATTAACCACTTTCCTTTGATGACTACTGACTGGAATCACCTAGCCAGCTAGAAGCAGAACTGTTGCAACACTTGCAAGTGGTCCAATTAGCAGTGCTAGTCATTTATATGCAGATGCAATGGAGACAGAATATTACTTCAAATGGACTTAGTCTGTACTCAGTCCTACAAAGCCACCTGTCTATCTTTTCAGCTTTAAGAGTGAGGATAAGTTTGAATTTTTTTAAATGACAGAGAAAAAACAATACATTTACATTATAAACATGTATTATTTTACAACTTCAAGGTGTTGCTTGTAACGGGAGAGGTTCCCCTGGAGAACCAGGAGCTAAAGGTCAAAGAGGATCACCTGGAGAAAGAGGTGGAAAAGGAGAGAAAGGCAAGTATATGCACCCATCACAAACCAAATACTTCAATACTATGATATTTAGTCATTGATGTCCTTAAAGTAAAAGCTCTTTTGTGCATTAAAATAAATGAGTCAGTCACATTAGATAATAGAAAAGGGCTGTGTATCCTGACCCTGCACTGTACATCTTTCTGCCATGCACTTCTTTTCTCTATCTTGTGTTCCTTGAAGAAAGTATTGTACCCATGTTTTCTTCAAACATGAATGCAATATTCCATATGATTTTGAATTTTTTTTAAGATCTGTGATTACATGAAGTGAACAACAGTAACATTTTCTTTCAGAGCTCCACACTGGATGTGAAGTCAGGGAGAAAGGCAGAATAAAACAATGCAAACAGTGGATGTATCCTCCAACACAATTTATTTCTCATGCAATCAGAAGAATTTCTGAAGATGGAGGGAAGGTGGCATTGTAAACTATTACTTAGTTTTCTCACTTGCTTCATGTAACTGCTTTGTTTATACAGGGAATCCAGGGATCTGCTCATGTGGGCCTGGTCCTTGTGGTCTACCTGGCAAACAAGGCCCTCCAGGAATACCTGGAAGAAAAGGAGAAATGGGAGTACCTGGAAAATATGGAAGAAAAGGTGATCCTGGTTTTCCTGGTACAAGAGGAGAACCAGGATCCTTAGTGAGTAATTGCTTTTTAAAAATTACATCAAACTAATTAACAGAAGAAAAAAATATAGACATGTGCAAGGGTATAAATAAGATAACAGGGCCTCAAAATTAATCATAATTAAAACAAAGGAAAAGGAAGAAAATAATTCTGGATAATTTGCTCAAAAGTCGTCTTGCCCTTTGCTCCTTATCAGAAACAATCCAACTTACTCCGAATTCAAATGTTAACAAACAACACAAATCATCTCTACTTTGCTGAAATCAGGTCTAGATTTCTCCGTCAGTGTTGTATTATTGTCTTAGTCAACCTTAATGCCCCCGATGTCCACGCTTCTTGATGCCTTGGCAGATTCCAAATATTGGGGAAATAGCCAAGAAAAATATATCCAATGCAGAATTATCAAGCTAGAACAGGGTATCAACTACCCTGTTGATTTCAGTCTGAATATAACAATAATAGAACAAGTTCAGAATCCTTCATGAGCAATTGCAGGCAATATGTCACGAAAATCATTGTTTCAATACTATCTGTTTTTTCTTTCTAAGTATTAATATTTTTTGCATTATCTGAAGTACCTTGTAAATAGAGTACAAATTATAATTTAACAAATAACATTTTTAAGAATTCAGTCAGGTTTTGTTGGAAACAAATATTAATCTGCATATGTTGTAGTAGAACTGAATCGCACAAAAACAAATCATTAAACAGTATCTAATATCTTCATAAGAGATTACTACTACACACTATGTCACAAATGCAATCAGATAATCAGTATGTTGCTTTCTCAAAGAGAATAAACTTCATATTAAGTAGGGGGAGAAAGTAAGCACCGCACTCTTTTTCCATCCTGTTAATTGAATAAAGTTTAGAATTGCAATCTTTTATTAATTCAAATGAATACTCAACCGAACTTAACAATAACCTGTTATTTTTAAATTTCTAAGGGATTACCAGGTCCACTTGGACTGACTGGTGAAAAAGGAGATAAAGGTGACCCAACTAGAGTAAGGATCAAAGGTAATTATGCAAACTACTATGGTTATAAGATTTGAAGACTGCTGCTTTGGTATCTCCAAATCTTGTACTGCAGTTTGGAAAAAAGAAAGGTGAGAACAAGCAATACAGATAAAGGCAATGGAGCAATTGTCCTAGCTTAATTAAGCATCATGGCTATGTTCTCCTGTTGCACACTGGGCCATATATTTTATGATGGCTTGTTTAAGCTGCAGATCTCTGTTCCTTCTGAACCAGGAAACTTTGAGTTGATCTTAGTTTACCAGCATGAAACAAGCAGATGGATAAAGATAACACGAAAATAAATATTAAGCTTGCATGGCCAGTTCTGTCATATAGTGTGCATCTGTAAGTTTCAGCAGCCTTTATCAGGGTAAGACAGGAATTCATTACATATAAATTATCCTTCAGTTTGTTTACCAGCCTGAGATCCAGACACTGGGCTGCTCACATTTTCTGCTCACAAAGAGGTACACTGAAGTTCTTTTCAAAAACTTACTAAATTTAACTCTTACATTAACTGACGTATGCAGACCCTTGAAATCAATACAAATAGGCTACCCCACAAGATAGGATTAAACCATTTGGTTTTAATACATCAATCAAGCAGCACCTGGCTTTGATTTATTATAGGTCTGATGTAGGTGGAATGGAAAATGAAATAAGAAATAATGATCATATGATTGATGTCAGCTCCCAAAATTTAATTTATAAATGTCAGAATAAATCTCTCATCTTCATTTTTGTGATTCATTATTAATAATAATGTGGGGAAATACTGCAGTCTACACCATATCACATATCCCACCATTGAGTACTACTTATTTCTCTGTTTCATTATGTAAAGAAGGTAGGTAACCTACAGCGTGTTTCCAAAAAGCCTCTTGAATCATTTAGTTAAGAACCCAGAAAGAGCAATTTGTCCCAACCTGCTGTATACTGAGGTATATGTTTGTGTATGTACGTAGACTAGGAGGGAAAGAAAAGAAAAGAAAAAAAGGAAAGGAGGTGATAGTGATAGTAGGGTCGGAAAGAAAGAAAAAGTGTTAGAAGAGAAAGATTAGATAGTGCCACCTAATTTTGTCTATGGACCCATCTACTGTTTGAGTCCACCTACCATTAAGCCCACCTACCATTTTCTTAAAGGTCTTGATAAAATATTCACTAAGAAATGTAGCTGTTAAAAAAAGAAGAAAACCTAAAAACTAAATTGTCCACTCCTGATATAAAGTATGCAACCTAGTTATTATAGCACTAGTTTTCTTAAGACATCTTAAGTTTTGTCCAACATCTACATTTACAGAACTCGAACTCATTATAAAACCTAATTAAATTTCAAATGTTCACAATATATCTTCTCATCTGTCTCATTAGGACTCCATTATAATTTATTAACTTTTTAAGAAATAGACTGAAATTGTGCACATTCTGTATAGATATCCTGTACTAAAGTTGGTGGTTGCTGGGTTTTTTGGTTAATACTCCTTGCAGGATGGAAGGGAATTTTTGACATTGCAGAGTTCTATGTTACACATTCTGTTTTGTTGCTTACTACAACATAATTATTTCCCTTGCATATATTCTTTTTCTAAAATCATGGTTCTTGTTAACTGAGGTTGGCTTGAGTTGTAACAGATACATATTTCTTCAGATGCTAATTATAAGCTTTCCATCGTTTGCAGGGGTAAAAGGACAAAGAGGGGTCCCAGGGGTGCCTGGATCTCCAGGAATAAATGGCACTGCTGGCAAGAATGGAGATGGGGGATTGCTGGGTGATAAAGGGATTCAGGTAAATCTGATTATCTTGAAGCCTGTCTTGTATTGTAAATCAATTTCTGTTCTTTTTAAAAAGAAGTTTCAAGAGGTGACGGTACCTAGCATCTGTGTCTGGGCTCAGCAATCTGTAATAAAAAATACAGTATAGCAAAGGCTGGGCTTGAAGCTAAACAGGGTTGAACCTCCTTAATCTTTGAATGGAAGACCTTCATGAAATACCAGGGCTAGAACCTAGACTGGGACATTAAAAGAACCAAAATAAAAGAAACCTAGAATAAGACAATGGCAAACTGTTTTTGTAAGCAGACATAGTTTCTAGCTCTGGCTAGTTTCCAGGCAGGTTCTTACTTGAGGTTTCTAAACCTCTCCTGGACTGAGCAGTTACTCACTATTGGAATGGTCTATTCATGATCCAAATGACTTCTTCAATTGTTTATGGAGTATGCCATAAGTTCCTAATATGTACATGTAATGCTCTCTTCATCAGAGGTAAAGTAAAGTAACAATATTTGAAGTATTTTCTCCCCTGACGGTCTTGCTCAACAATTAGCTTGTTATTACTGAGTTGCCAGGCAAAATGTTTTTATTACTTCAGGCCTGCATATTGCTAGAACTCATTCTTGAATCTATCAATTTCTGGGTTTTTAAAATGTTTTATAGTTGTACATTGTGGTTTTACTCTGAGATCATTTTGATGAAGTATACTTTATACATTTAGCTAATCATGTAACAGTCTTAAGCTATTTAATTAGAATTTTGAATAGACACCTTGCCCCCATGTATCTATCCATCTAGATAGGATTTTGAATCAACTTGAATGCAATAACATTTAAGTGTCATTAAGCTCACAAATATTATTTTGTATTTCTATGAATGGTGAACAGGGAGATGATGGAAGAGCTATACAAGGTGACAAAGGATTCCCTGGGGCCCCTGGAATTCCAGGCTCAAGAGGTCAAATGGGGACACCAGGTTTTGGAATTCAGGGCCCACAAGGTATCCAGGGTCTACCCGGAGATCCAGGAAGACCTGGCATGAAAGGAACACCTGGGCCAAAGGGTCAAAAAGGTAATATAGGTGATGTTGAAAATAAAAAAGGGAAATGCAGTTTTCAATTGGATATTTCACTGACATAGAGCTGTTATTGCAGCACTAATATAAGAATAAAATATTGATACCTACATGTATTTATTTAGAAATAAATATAAATTTATTTAGTGGTTTTAATTACTTAAAATATTGCCACAACTAGAAGATGTTTACTTACAAATAATTTTCAGCCCATTAATAAAATCATTGTTGGTTTAGTGGTCTGGAAGATTAGGAGCTGAGACTCATATACTGTTGCTCTTTTTTTTTCTTCTTCCTATTTTAGGTATTAGTCTTCCATATGGAAGAGCGTATCCCGGAAATCCAGGTATAGCAGGAATTAAAGGTGTACCAGGTATGGCCACAAAAACAAATTAATTCTTTTCTCTAGACCAAGTTATTCGTCTTCATGCTATACAGTAATAAAACAGCCCTTTATAATTTAGACTCATACAAAATTAAGTGTGGGAAAATCATTTTAGAATCAAAACAGAAATATAAGGGTAAGGTGATAATGAATGATCCAAAACGAAAAGTTAGGAGAGACTATTTTGTGATATTCTGTGTAAGAGAACAATGACGTTTTGTATTGGCTGTGAGTTTAGTGAGAAACTAACACCCCCCAACACACACACACACACAGTATATATACAGACACTCATATACTTGATTAGTATGAAGGATCTTTATAAAAAATTAATAATGAGTCTCAGTTGTATTTTGCTTTTTGATTCTCTTTGATTCACTAATTGAATTCTGTCATGTCCTTCTAGAAAAATGGGATGAAATCTGTCTCCTCTATAATTTCATAACATTCTGGGAACTGAACTCAGTGTTATGATGATCTAGTTGCTTGCACTGATGCATTTGGCCAGCTGCCAAATATTAAAACCGATTTAAATGAATTTCTAATACTGTTGCTTAGAACAAGGATCCAAAGTTCTTTCCAGGTTCAGGTTCGTACTTGGCTTTCAAGTGGCATGTTTGAACTGATGCTCCAAAAAGCTGTTGAAGTCAAACATTTATTAAATATATTAGTTGTGATTATTCCCCATACATATAATAATTTTATTTATTAGACACATTAAAATTGATACTTTCTTGATTTCACATCTAGTACCTCTTAATATTTCATAGAGTTCCTCGAAATCTTACATTTTCTATGTTTTATAGTAAGACACTGGATTCATTCATCCTAATATATATGTTTCTGTGAAGTCCTTGGTGCTTTCTGAGCTTGGTTGTTTGCTTGCAGATGTTTCATTACCAACTAGATAACAACCAAGCTCAGAGAGCACCAAGGACTCCACAGTTCAACCCTGAGCCACGTATATTCTCTTCTATTGAAATATATGGTTCTGTTGTTTATAGGGTTATAGCGGAGCACTGAGCACATATCTAGTATTGTCCATAATTGTCACTTCATTCCTTCTCAATAACTCATGGTCTGAATAGCATATAATGTAATTATTTGGTGTACCTTATTTCATGTATTCCTAAGAATAATTCTTAAATTTGAAAATACGTTTCAGTTTCACTTTGTCATTTATTTTCAATTTCAAATTTTCAATGGTTCATGGTTCTCTCATTCCGTGTTCTGAGTTACTTCTTTTTTAATACTGGCATCATCAGTGATCAGACTTTCTTGCACTACATCATCATACTAAGATCTAGCCAAGAAAGTTTGATGCTTTGTCCCAATAACTAAAGAATGCCTTCCAATGCTACAGTCTCACTATACAATGCCCAAAGTTGTCAAAATACTATAGCTATATCCATAAGTTTTCTTGGCAACAAGCTATTGACTTCTTTTCTGTTTGATTTTGGAGTTCCTTCTCATTGCTATGTTGGCTTCCCTCAAGCCTGCAGTACTTCAGTTACTCTGCATTGTGGATTACTTAGTTTCATTTCTTTTTTTCCCCAAAGGATCTTATCAGTGGTGGTAACACTACCAGCATCTCTCTCACATATGCACTCATGCACACACATACAATGTTTTTCTTCTGGAATGAAGAAAAGAACTAAGTTGTAGAATAAGTAGATCATTCTGTTTATTACTTCAGGAGACTTGGAAGGCAAACCTTAAGAAATCTGTGAACTTAAATACTATGGAAAGAACCAAATGCAATTTTAGTTGTTCAGGTAATTCCATCTCTGTGATCTCTTAATGTTAAATGAGTATTGCTCAGTTTAACAGTCAGTTTAAAATATAGAAATTTGAATGACAGTGATTTACATGTTGGTGGAGTTGTCTTCAAAAGCCAAACAAAGCAGGTATTGGATGGATTTATCTAGTACAAAAGTCATTTAACATGCAGCCCTTCCTTTAGTTTTCAGACTACAGCTCATTTAATTTTAATTTTCTTCGTAGAATGTTCAAAATGTTCAAAATCCAGTTATGCACCATAATTTCTGTATATTCAGGTCCAAAAGGTTTAAGAGGGCCACCTGGGCCACCTGGGCCCAACGGTTTTGATGGTCTCAAAGGCCAGAAGGGTAGATTAGGAGCATCAGGCAATCCTGGTCCAGAAGGTAAGTGAGAAAGTCCAAATATTTTATTTATTAAAGATGAGAATCTACAAGAACAATTCTACACTGCATTAATTATTGTTGCTTTTCTCCTCTGGAGTTTATGCAGTAATGTAACATAAATGCAGACAAACAGTGCTGCAAAATCATTAATTAAAATCAGATTTAGGATCACATTACAGCATAGTGATAGATCTCTGCATCACTGGGATATGCAAATTATTAATAAAATCGCAGTAGCATCATGAGATCCAATCTCTTTTTAATAATTTTCTTTTCTTAATTTCTTGTAACTTCTGAAAATATAAATCATATACCAAGAAGCTAGGAAAACTGGTTTCTACTGTATGCTTTCAAAATGTATCCAGAATTGATTTGGATATATGTGATTACATATTACACTGTTATTAAGAGGTTTACCAAAAAACAAAAACCCAGTGGTGACCCAACAGAGATAGCTGTGTTTTTCTATACACTATGTGGCATGACCATGTACTTTCCACAGGAAATTCCAGTTGTTTTGAAAGCATGAATCTGGAATCATTCTTCATAGCCTCCTGAAGAGAAAATCTTATTTTTAAAGAAATTAAAAGAAATAAATTATTCAAATACATAAGTATAAAAAGTTACATCAAAATCTCATGAAAATATAGAATGTTTTTATCATCATCATCATTATCATCATCATCATCATCATCACCATTATTTTAAATTTATTGGCTGGCCAACTCCAGTTTTCCAATCTTAAATGTTGGATCTATAACTTAATGAATTACTTATGAATGTTGATATGGTCTGATTTCCTATCCCTAGTTAAGAATTTTTGCGGCATACTCCTCAATCACAATAAAAACTGCAGCTTCAATAATCTAAAGAGTTTCTCCACATTAGACACTTGCACTAAACAATGAGAGATTAATATTGCTCAAATAATTGACAGTCACCACTTTCTCACAGACTATGCTGGGTGTTGGCAGTATTTAGATCTAATACAAGGTAACTGTTCAGAACTGAACTTCCAGACACACAGATTGAATGCCACTGGATATTAATTTCTATACCCAAAGCATGAGATGAAAGCTATTTCCTTAACACCCCCATTATAAGTTCATGGTAGACCAGACTAGGAAACCAAAGTCATGCAGGCTAGTATTACTTCTATTATAAAGTTATGGTAACAGCATCTTGCAAATCTGAATGTGCTTCCCCCTTCCCTCCCTTTAACTTTGTGAGAACTAAGGAGGGTCTTGTTTGATATTTTTTTCATGTTACAGTTCTACAGCCCCGGAGTCAGGTTTCTTTTATCTGATTGTTGTCTTGGTAGTGGCTCTTCCTCCTGTCCTGCAAGTTCATTCCTTCCACGCGTTACATCAGGTTCTGGTAATTTACCACAAAAAGAAAATTTTGAACTAGCTTAGGCTCCAACATAACACCTTCCCAGAGTATAAGGGCTGAGAATTATGGGGCTTGTATCACATCTGAAAGGTTACTGCAATTGCAATCTCAATAGACCTCCAGAAGATTGACCTAGATATATTTCGGATTAAGCAATATTTTCTATATTCTTATTTTGTATATTGTATAATTAGAAGCTGAATGTAAGCTAATTAAGCATTCATCTGTGTAATCTAGATGTCATTATTCTTAGGTTTAAGGGGCGAGACTGGTGATCCAGGTGATCCAGGTGAACAAGGTTCAAGTCTGGATGGTGCTTCTGGATCGCCAGGCCCTCCTGGGCTTCAAAGTCCAAAAGGCGTTCCAGGCCGCACTACTTATAGCCCTCCAGGACCCCCAGGCAACAGAGGTCTTCCCGGATTACCAGGTTTGCCAGGCCTAAGAGGTGACCCTGGTTTTCCTGGGCTTCAAGGTAAGAGGTCCAGTGGTACATGTCAAGGATGTACTTGAATTCCTTCAGTTACATTATTTGTCAGAAAAGAGGGCAGAATAAAAATAATTAAACTGTATTTATAGTATAAGAGGCTGAAGGACACAAAGTTAAATTATATTTGGGGGAAACAGTTTAAAAAGGAGTTAATAGAAAGAAGGAAAGTGGGAAGACATAGCAGTCCGTTACAATTACCCAGGTAGTTCCACTTATTTTTACTTTGTCTCTTCTATTCAGAAACACATTCACTTGCATTTCCTTTTCTAAAAAAATAAGGAACAATTCAACCATAGTTTATTCAGCAAGTGCATTAATCAAAATATCCGAAAAAAATAGGAGATAACTCAGTAAAAAGTAGTGTAAGAGCCAAAGTGTCAGGAATTAGATAAATATTGTATAAAGTTATTGTCATTTTTGCTCTGAGTCAAACAAACTGATGTATCTTGTCACTTTCTGATTGCCCATGAGCATGGCGACATCATAGGACTTAAATTAAATTATGTGTGGCAAATTCCATTTTCTATAGTAGTTTCACAATCTTTTCTTCTATCTTTATCAATGGAACTGAATGGACCACATCAGTGCTTTTAAGGTTTGAGAGATAAATGATTTTTTACTCCCTATTGTTCTGTCTTCAGAAATTCCATGCTAGAGTTGTTTTAGGTAGATATGATTTCCTGAAGCTGTAGATTAACTGATGGATCAGTTTTGTGTGAGCATGATGCTACCTTGCCATCATTATCAGAGTATTTCTAGAGCAGTATTTCTCATCCTGGGGAACTTTAAGATGTGTGGACTTCAGCATGCTGGCTGGGGAATTCTGGGAGTTGAAGTCCACACATCTTAAAGTTCCCCAGTTTGAGAAACACTGTTCATAAAGTGAAGTCAATTTCTGATATAATTTTTTACCCTGTCATTTTATAGTAAATTAGATTTAAAATTCTCTTTTAAATTCAGGAAAGGGCAATATTGTGTGAAAGTATGCAGACAGTAAGATTTTTCTATTTTTTAAACTGCCACTTTATAATAAATTGGATTTAAAATTCCAGGAATGTCATGGTATCTGCCACATTAGACATATTAATTTTCAACTTTTCTGGGAAAGTGAGATATTTGTTTGATCTCTACTCCACCTCCACCTTATCAATGTAATAATCTGCTTTCAGGGCAACCTGGCACACCAGGACTTCCAGGAGCTAAAGGTGTCAGAGGCCAAAAAGGTGACATAGGAGTGATGGGTTATCCTGGATCACCTGGACTGGCTTGTGACAAAAAGTTGGAGGGGTTGCCAGGACCACCAGGCTCCTTTGGACCACAAGGACCTAAAGGTGAACACATCGCAACTTAATATGTGTGAAAACAAATTCACATATCTTAATCCATTATATTCTCTATGCAACTAATACCTACCATTTTGACTCAATAGACAGCTGGATTTAGGTTTTAGGCAGCCTTCAGCCAAGTTCCTGTTTGGCCTTCAAAGGAATAATTTATCAATAGCATTCAGCAGTAATCTGCAGTAAGTGGTAGATGGTTGCCACATATCCCAAGTATAAAATTGTGCCAGGGTTTTATCAATTCCTTTACCATTCCACTTAGTGATGGAACTTGTACATGAGTAGCTTGTGATATGTTCCACAGTCAGCTCCTGGTCTTGTCTTTGCTGTTTATAAGTGAGCTCTTCCACCTCCTTGTACCAATAATATAGTCATTTTGAATTCTGTGTACTTCACCTGATGATGTCCATGTATATAGGTGTCACTTTGGTTGTTGGAACATTGTGTTAGCAATGAAGAAACCATTGGACTGACAGAAATATGTCTGCTTATAGAGGGAAACAGCATCAACATGGCTCTAAAGAATGCATGTAGAAAGAATTGGCCCAAGATTTTCAAATTATACTTGTAAAACTTTAAAACATTTTTAAAAAGTTGTTCTAAGCTAGTTGGTTTTGCCCATCTTGTCTGCTTTCCTTCTCCTCCTCCAGTCCTGGGATTCCTTGATGTGGTGAGTGCAGAGGAACAAGCCTGGAAGAATTCAGTTAGTAGATATGGACTTGGAAAGAGTGATAATATATTTCTTGCTGCATTTCCCCTTCAGGATTGCAGGGTATTAAAGGTCTCCAAGGAGATATGGGAGCACCAGGCCCGTCTGGAATGAAAGGCTTGCCGGGAGCTCATGGAACACAAGGACCATCTGGCTTTCCAGGCTTAAGAGGAGATCCAGGATTTTCAGGGGAAAATGGACTGCCAGGTTTTCCAGGAAAAAAGGGTATATGACTCTGAATTTCAAATATAACACTTCATTTAATACACTTATGCACCACTTCTAATAAAATGGATATGAGCTGATTGATTTTGGGTTTCAAAGTCTAAAAACAGGGAAGGTGAACTCAATCAGGCCATGGGTTAGTATGTTGTGTGAATCCAGTCAATACATTCAACATATCAATAGTGTATAATTTAATGGCCCTGTTCTTTCAATATTCTTTAAAGGAGACAAAGGTTCCCAAGGCATGCAAGGTTTCCCAGGCCTTCCAGGAAAGGAAGGAGAAATGGGAGCATCAGGTGTGAAAGGAGAAGAAGGACAAATTGGTCAGTCTGGTCCTCCTGGAGAATTTGGAACAAAGGGTTCCAAAGGTACATAGAATAATGTTTGTATTTATGAATAACTGACTTCTGTGCAAAATCAGTTGATATTCAGCCAGAATTTATAACTATTCCTTTTGCATATTTTTTCAGTAGGTGATTATGTATTTATTTGCGTACTTTTTGATCAAAGCCACTGCAATTATTATGTCTGTCTGTCTATTGAATTTATTCTGTCTGTCTGTCCGTCCATCCATTCATCTATGTATTGAATTTATATGGCCGCCCATCTCATTTGCATGGGACTCTCATTTGCATGGGAGTAGTATGCACAATTAAATTAATTTAATTAAATTAATTAAAGATGATCATCTTTATTATCCTAGAATACCTTTAGGCCTCAATGTTCCCAGGAGCTCTTATCTAGATAAGAAGTATGATGTAGTCCTGGTTACATGTTGTCACATTGCTGTTTAAAGAGCTAAGCAAAAAAGTTGGATGATTGGTTGGTTTGCTTTTTTTAAATAAGGGATTAGAATTTCATCTGATGGGCATTCTTGTTGCTGATATGGAGCCTGACTTAGGGCATCCAGATGATGCTGAGATTTCATCAACATGAGAAAATGTGCTTTGTTACATTATGATGCAAGCCCCCCATAATGTGGTGTTGTGATGCAAGTAAAAAAGAGGTGGAGTTTGTATCATTAAGTAACAACGCATATTTATTATTGCTTCCTGTGAACATCCATGCTGAATCTTCATTGTTCTCCAAGTGAATCAAGAGGTTTTCAGAATTCTGATGCTTATGTCCTTTAAGTATCAAGCAAACACACTTCTAATATGTGGTATCTATTCAGCACAATTAAGATTTAAATCACTGTGGAGATCCCAGGGGCAGAGATGGTAGATTTAAAGCAATTATATTGTGAGTAAATTGTTGCATACATTCTATTTTGAAGGTGAAGCAGGATCTCAAGGGGACAATGGCTACATCAGTGTCCTGCAAGAAAAAGGACAAAATGGAGAACCAGGCCTTCCTGGTGATGAAGGATTACCAGGGACACAAGGTAACCAAACAAATTATTTTCTAAATTAAACACAAGCCAGTAATCATAATGTTATAATCAGACTGATCAGCATCTTTCATATATTGTATATATTTTGGAGCACATTAATAATTGTGTAGTCTGTTTTAAAATTATTCCACTGACAGAAGACTATTGATAGAGTCTCAGGGCAGTTGGGCAATAGAACCCATAACTCAGAGAGGTAGTGGATTCCTGTTCATGGATTCACTGGAGCAGAAACTGACGTTATTAAGATGCGTTATACTGAATTCTTCCGTTGGGCGGGGAATGGAACTTAATGCCTTCTCTAGCCTCTCCAACTCTATGATTCGGTGATCAAACTGACCAGATGACTCTTAGTTAAGGGATTATGAATTTGTTTTCCTTTCTAGCTAATCATTTTGGTTAGTAATTATTCATTTAACATATGAATAAATCCAAATATTTCTGCCACATGTATGTATGTTAACAAGGCATTTTCATGTATGTATGTTAACAAGGCATTTTCCCACCTCCGTGCCCCATCCAACATTGTCAAGATACTGCATATTCAAGACAAACTAAATTATTTAGGCATCTGAGGCAGAAAGGTGCAATAATAATAAAATTAAAAACAGTTTGCCACCCTTTCATCACACCCATTATCAGCTGACTGAAGCAGCACCTGTTCTTTACCTAATGCACAAACTGGGAGCCTGCAAGCTGCATGTATCCTCAGGATCCTAGTTGTGCTCCTGAGCAACCCAAGATAATGCTGCCAAAATTTAGTGCAGCTGCCAAATTTCAGGGGTACGATTTTGTGCCATTTTAGCAATGGGAATGGAAGTGCTTTCCTCTTATAGGCCTCCTTCTCTTATAACAACATTATCCTCATCAGCCAAAGCAAGCAAACAAACAAACATCACTCACACTCTGCAGTGATGTTGCTGTACCATTAGAGGGCCTCCTGTAGCCTTCTAGAAGGTCAAGAGGCTCAATTGTAGGCCTAGACACCTCAGAAATTGCCTACACTTGCCAAATGATAGGGCTGGGTTTCAAATGCTGCAACTTTAGTCTAAAATGAAAGTCATTAAATAAATCATATAGTATTGCAAAATGTATTAGGCATTAGTAAGTAATCCTTCACATTTCATTCATATAGTTCTGGGTGACCCCATTTCAAAAGAAGAACAATTTTTTAAAGTAAATACTTACCTCTTTTCTGTTAAGATAAAAGTTATCTTTATCTGGGGCTACATAAAAAGAATCAAAAGATAGTAAAATCTAGAGTAAAATCAAATATAAAATGTGCCAGTAATCAACCTACAATATGGAATAAAAGTGTGAATGCCAAGTAAGATTCATGGAAAGAACATTTATTTTATTATTTGATATTACAATGTATCTTAACACCTGTATCTATTAATATATAATGAACTCTTGAAATAATTTCAGGTGACAAAGGCAACACTGGATTCAGAGGAATCCCAGGACTGCCAGGCAAGCATGCAACTTCAGGCACTCAAAAGGGTCAGCCTGGTGATATGGGACAGTCTGGTTCCCAGGGTTTGCCAGGCCTCCCAGGGCCTCCAGGTTTAAGAGGGATTCCTGGTTTTCAAGGACAAAAAGGTGATCAGGTATGCTAAGAAGACATACTATATTTATCTTTATACTGTATTGCTGTAGAGTTGGACCATATCATAATACTATTCTTAGTATATGCTGCTGCTATTTCTTAGCTCCTAGAACCCAAGCTGAGAAACAGATCCATCTATGGTGGAGCATGACATTCACCTGTGGCTGTCTAGTGGGACCTTTAAATCTTTATGACTATTTTCTAGATTGCATAGTAAAGTATTGATGACGTTTCATGGAACATACAATCAATACATTTTCTCTAAACTGCCTGAGCACTACATTCCCAAATATTTATTACATCAAATAATTAGCAGAGATCTTAGATCCTTAAAATAATATCCACAGGTGCCAGTGTGCTTAGTAATGTACCCATGAAATCTCCCACCCATCTTATTTTTGGGGAGCTAAGCAAGTCGCAAAGCATGAGCCTCAAGCATAAGTATTTCCAACAATGTTTCTGAGCCACTTGTGAATCCAGAGGCAGTCTTAAAATACAGTGGTTGAAGTTGTAGCCGAGCACTTTGTTGGGAAGCATATCCACACATCCAGAAAAAAAAGTAAATTGAGATGGTAGAGAACATTCTGGAGAAGCTAGATGGGATACTAAAGCACAATCTTGTTTTTTTTTTTAATTCCTTCTTTATATGTGTGTTTTTGTTTAACTCCAAAACCTCTATCTGGCTTGGTTATACTAAAAATGTGAATTTCTGAGGAATTGCTGAATTCACAATTCCCTGGGGCTCTGGGTAGATCAACCTCTGCATCTAGTAAAATTCCTGGTCAGCATGTTGGATTAAATTCTCTTACTTATGTGAAGCAAGTCAAAGAATTCCTGTAGAAATAGTACAAATTAGAAAGGAGGCACCAGTCCAGAGGAAGAACTAGAACTATTTATAATTATTTTATTTGCATTCTTATTGTTTATATATCATTCAGCTCCCAATAAGATCATTTAGTACTCACTTCCCTGTATCATCAATGATCAGGTTTTGATGCATATATGATAAACTTAATTGATTTCCTCCAGCTGGGGAAATTTTAAATTTCATGTACAATAAATGACATACTTCTTTTTTTTTAATCCAACAATCAGGGCGCACAGGGACAATCAGGTCCTCCAGGAAGTCCAGGATCAGGTGGCAGAAAAGGATCGAAAGGTAGTGATGTAACAATAATACCAATAATTAATGATTGAAACTCGCTTGCTCTTTGAATTTGTATGTATGCATTAAGAAAGGGATTATGGACAGAATAGCTGATTTGAAAAATCATTTCCAGATGAAATGCTGATAATAAGCTAATTTGAATTAAAATGATTTGGAAGAACATGATTAATAAGTTAATGAAAATTTTTGGGACTGAGCCAAAGAAATCTTAATCAGGTGTATCTGAAAGCCAACTCCATTGTAAACAACAATATTTGGTTCCCAGAAAACACAAATATTAGTTCAGATAACATAGTAAAAGACATAATTTGATTGATAGCATGCATTTCTAAAAAGAAAAATTAATGGGTAGATTGTATAGAATTGAAGTACCCCTTCAATTTATTCAGTATAGAACTAAAAATTACATGATTCTGTCTTATGTTCATAGAAGAATAAATAGTTAATTGCATAATTTTGGTACAACTGAGAATAATGGAGTAAAATAAGGAAGCTAAACCCCTTATTTGATACTAGTTCAGATAACATAGTAAGTTACATTTCTGAAGGAAACCAACAAATTACTTGCATGCAGAAAAAACTTAAGGGAGGATGATTTAGGCTCAGCTTCTGGCAGTTGTTCTTGATTTTCATCTGAGAAGATGATGGTACCAAGCGTTAACAGTGATATTATAATAATATAGTATTTCAGAAAGATCATGTGAGTTTGCTGCATAAAGAGTCTCAGTTCATACAGTTTCTGGAGCTGGATAGATAGAAGCATCTGTCAAAGCAAAATTAGCTAAACTGAAACGGGGTTCCAATTCACAGTGCTTAAGAAGTGGTAGAAAATGGCTCAACTTTCTTCTCATATAACTGATGCTATAGAAAGTTTTTAAAAAATAATGTTAATTTTCCTTTAGTTACAGAGAGTCAGAAATGTCTTTTGAAATCATTCTGTTAAATTATGTAAAATAATTTCATGATTTTGGTCATGCTGTTATAAAAATGAAAAGCCCTGAATAGTCTGAAATGTGGATATTGGCATGACAGGTGCAAAGAAAAGTGATCTACTTGCTGACTTGATAGGCAAGGATAGCTTTTGCTCATAACATCAGTTTCTATTGTTCTGCAGGTAGTAGAGGTGACCCAGCTACTCATCATGGTCCACCTGGCAAGAAAGGCCCTATAGGAGTTCTAGGATCACCAGGTGATGTTATTTTTAATTATTTAACAACAAATTTTCAAGTTTGTTACCTAACTTGTCCAACTTTTGTTTTGTGTAATAAAAGGTCCATATTTTATACTGCAGAAATATTTACTATGTATATAAATATTCTCACAAACAGCATTACATTTGAAAAGATGATATCCGTTAGTGCAGAAGAATAGCTATGATATAGGTAATCTTGGACTCATGGCATGTTTATTAATGCATATGTCTGACAATGCTGGGTAGTGGTCTGTTTTAACTATATAGCAGAAAGTACAAAAATGTTTGTGTTGTCTTCCAATGGGTTTTGCATAGAACTCCTAGAAAAAGAAATTATCTGCTGCGGCTTCCGGGGGAGGTATGGAATAAGACAGAAGGAGCTCTGTGAAAGTAGAACTGATGACTGTGGCAAAGGCCAAGGAATTACGGAGTAGGCCAGTTCCTTGGAACCTCTCTGGCTAAGGAGAGGACAGGAGATCACCTACATGAGCTTCAGATGTCTGTTCCTCATGAGGAGACTGCAGGACAGCGGTTTTCTGTGGGTTTGAGCACTGGGAGGCAACGGGATTAGCCATCTTGCTTGCAACTGAGGTGGAGACTTTTAAAGGACACTAAGTTAGCAAACATCACTTTCTAATCATTTTCAGAAATTGCTCATTAACTACTTCTAAGTTATTAGAGATCTTTGGACTGACAAGTTTGAAAATGCCAAGTGAGTCTGCCTTCAATTCTGAATGAAAGAAAATTTTAATCATAAGCTTAAGAATTGAAAGAATCTGAAATAAACAACAAAAAAGCTAAATAAGATTTTGATCTTAGAAAGTTATAAACCAAATAAGAGTCCAGATAAAACTGGAATATTGAAACTTTTACAATAAGATTTTGGAATTAATTATGAAGAACAAACTTCTTCAAAGCTTCTTGTGGGAAATAGAGTAAACAAAGATAAACAATTTCATGATTTCAAAAAGTGGGCACTAGAGGGAACTAAATTTTTTAGGTACAGGAAAGATTTACAAGCCTGTAAAGTGTTGCAAAATCTTCTAACAGTGAAAATACTGAAGGAGACTTTTGAAGAATGGAATCAGAAAATAGTAGCCACAATATCAACAATGTCAGTAAAGATGTCTCTTCTATGGATAAACTATGTCCAAAAGGTGTTATTGAAGAAATGACAGATGGAGAACAGATTTTAGCTGACAAGATAGAGATGGTATCGAGTGGATTTACAACTGACAAGCCAAGAGAATGACTTAGATAAGGATGTTTCACTGGATCTACAAAAGAATCTGGCTGAGATTTTAAAATTAAAAAGGGATATACAAATGACAAACCAAGAGAGCTGACAGTATAATAATTCTAGTTTCATCCTAATATTAATCCACAGTATTTTTTGCATCATTGTATGAATTTGCACCAAAATTTCTTTGCTTTTTCACAAGTCCATCATGCATGGTAAAAAGGTCTCCTCTTCCTTTTCACACTTCCAGCACTGGTTTGATATTGCTTTATACATTTTTGGCTGGGGTAAGAATTAGTGGTATTTTTGTTCACTGCCACCAGAATGTCCATAGCTAAACACTGGAAAGATAAAACTATAATGTTGGAGCTTTAATACCAAAATGTTTGGTATTATGGCATATTGCCATAGCTGAGAAATTGACCTACACTCTTCAACTGCATTCTGGTCAAGCTAAAGTTAAAGCCTTCTCAAATATATAGTCTGATTTTATATCTTATGCTAACCAGGGAAAGCATAACTGTTTTGTGCCAGATGAATATATTAATGTGTAGGAGATATATTAAGGAATTATTAATAAGTGGTTTTATTAATTGTTTTTCTTGCCCCCTTTTTAACCCTTATATGTATGCGCTGAATTTTATTGCACTGCTTCTAGTTATTGTAATTTTTTTTGAAATAACTATTTTTTAAAAAGTTCATTATCTTACCTATAAACTATAAATATTATGGTTATTAGAATGCTTTCATTGTAATTCAGAATTATTCTTCTCTTTACCTTTTGTGTAGATCATTATCTGATGATGAACACAGGCTCATGGTTAGGTTTAGATGCCAGTTGCAATATCCATCTCTCTAGAATGAGAACTGAAATAAGCATGTTCTACTGAAAAATGTTTACACTAAAATTTGATTGTTTTGTGGTTGTTTAAGGACTTCCTGGATTACCTGGAGACCAAGGTGTACCAGGTGTTCAAGGGGAACCAGGAAGACAGGGCTCCAAAGGGTTGCCTGGATATGCAGGAACACCTGGATTCCCAGGTGAGGAAGAACTAAAGAAAAATTGGATGAACATTAAAACAAGTATTATGAAATATGATGATGGACAAGACAGTGAAAGAGAAGATATGAATAATGGAATAAGACTAAAAGGAAGACAGTAATAGAAATGTAGTTTATACATTCATAATATTATCCTCACAGCCATGTGAAAAAATAGCCTTTTTCTTCAGCCTAGGCCAGGGGTAAGCAAATTTGTTTTGGCCAAATGCTGCACTATTTAGTCCATGTTTTGATTGCCTTTGATGGCTGCAGGGGCATTCAATGGCATTTCCAAATGTCCCCCCCTTCCTCCTCCTCCTCCTCCTCCTCCTCCTCCTTCTTCTTCTTCTTCTTCTTCTGGTTTTGAGGTGATTGGGCAGGTTTAAACTGAAAAATAGGTCTTTAAGCTTGAATGTGCTTAAATGCAAAATGGGTGTTGTGGGGTGGACTGTATATTGTTTCCCGCTGGCCTGTGTCAAAAGGATAGTAAATCCACAGTCCAATGTGCTTTAATTTTTGATATGCCACTATTTATATTTCAAATTTGTCACCGCCGATCTTACTGCAAAGCACCTCTGGGTGGTTCTGAATGCATTCCTAGATTTATGTTATTTCTAGAGATTCTCATCACCATGTTGCTAAATAAAATATTAGGGAGAATTATAACAACATGAGAGAGAATAATAAATGCTGTATGGGAAATGTCTGTTTTACTTTAGGTGCACAGGGAGCTGCAGGATTTGCAGGATCTCCAGGTGAACAAGGTAAACCTGGTTATTTGGGACCTCCAGGTTTCCCAGGATTACCTGGTAGCCCAGGTAGAAAAGGTAAATATTGTGGAGAAAAATTATTACAGATGTCAGTGCATAGCATAGCATTAAAATGCAAACATGATTGTTAATGTAAATGTAGGGCATAAACTGGTATTTTGAAAACAAATGTCTAGGCTACTTATTCCATTATGTTAGGGGTATGTCTTTAGTGGAAGGAGATTTAAAATTTTGAATTACCTGTGGATCAAAAGTAGGAAGATCAAAATAGATTGTGCATGCAGGTTTCATAATTTGATTGGCCCAGATGTATGCATTCTATACAGACCAATTCTTAGGTGTAGCTACTGTCAAATTATAAAACTGTAGGTGTTTGGGCATAGATGTGATCGATTGACATATGTCGTTACGCTGATGTGTAGATACAGTGTTAAATGGATGTATCCTAAAGACATTTCAGCCACCATGAAACCAATTATGATGGTCCAACGGTCCCCAGTTTAGGGATGCTAGTTGGCAACTTGGAAATTTGAAACATGTCATGGTTACCAGGCAGGGCGAGGCATTCCATTGGAAAGGGTGACTCCAGAAAGCTTATTGTGCAATTGAAGCACCTCTCTTCAAAGCATTAATGTAGCTGTGTCCTCTGAAAGCCTCCACACAGCTACTTCAGTTGTTTTCTCTGGGGTTCTGCACACTTTTCTGTTTGTTTTCACTGGGACTGCCAGTGGAGAGAAGTCTTTTTTTTCCCTAAAGGGATGAGCACACTTTCAACATACCGCTATGTGGGGCCCAGAAAAAGTTTTGGAAATAGGTTGTTCTTTGCAGAATGCTAGGTTCTTATTTTTTAAGAAATAAAATAATATTCTAAAGAAGCCAGGTGAGAAAGGGAGCTTGGTGGGCACCAAGGGGGTGTCATTAGGTACATTAAGGTCCAAGTCACTGCACTGGGTATCCAAATAACAAGTACGAATAATAGTAGTAACTTTGCATTTGAGCTTGCAACTGATAAGTAAAACCAGCTAACAAGTTTGATGAGGCATCTGGCATCACAGTTTTGTTTCAAAAGTAAAATAAAAAACAGATGCAAGTGTTATTATATTCAAACCTGTGCAAAATCATCAAACTGGGCCACTGATCATCCTTTCATTTCCCTCCTTTGGTCAAATTAGGAGAAAACAAATAGGTCTTCAGTTAATTTCGAACACTACTGCTTCTTTGTTTATCACCAAATCTAAAACGACTCATTATGATTTACAATGCAGATGAGACATAAAACATAAGTTACTGTTTTATGGTCTTATAATGCACAATTATAAGACCATAAAACAGTAACCATAGCAAAACATAAACACATAATATAAAATAAGAAATAAAACAATAAGCATTGCCAACTCTAATCAAGGCAGCACTAACTTTTCAAGGCTATGCAGAAGAGTTCTGTTTTAACAACTTTATAGAACAATGCCAGGGTGGTGCAAATTGGATTTGGGGTGGATAGGACAGTTTCATAGAGTGGAGGTAGAAAATTATCTCCAGATCTCCACTCGTCTCACTTTCTTATGTGGGAACATGATGCATCTCCAAGTGGGAAGAACACACAGAATGGGCTGGTTTTACCCATGCAGGTATTTACATTCTAGATACCTTCTTATTAGCTTTTCAGAAAATCAAGGCAAAGTTCAAAATCTGCAAATGACGGGATATTTAGGGCTATGATAGACTACCTAAACATGTCAGTAGGAAAATTCCCCCAGTGTTAGGAATCTTTTTGGATTCATGAGAATTTGGAGATAGGGCAGCTTAATGATTCTTACGTTTCTGTAGAAGCTATTATCTGTTGTCAGCAACCCTAACCTGACCATGTCATAAGTGATAGAAATATAAAATCATAGAATGTAAAGGAGATCTTCTAGTCTGACTCCGTGCCAACTGCAGGAATAAACTACTATAGCATTCTGCTTCAGATGCAAGGGAAATACCATAGAAATATATTTTTAAAGAATCATACTTTTTTAAAGAACTGTTGAGCCAACAATTCTAATTTAGACAAGTTCCAAACTTCTGCATCTTGTCTCAGAATCAAAACAATTATTCCCTTCTTATATTTCCTTCTCAATGAAATCAAATAAAAGGAATTTAGGATCTTTACTTCATACTTCCATTCCATTTTAACCACCTTCAGAAAGTCTTTGGCAGGTATTAAATATGTTCTGCGAAATACCAGGGAATAGGTTGGTAATGGACTAAAAAAGTTGCAATTATGATTTTATAATTGGATTTATCCTTTTGGAAGTAACAAAAAGTTTACATCTGCTAAATATTCTGACATGGTAAACTTCAGGTAAACTTTTGATAGACAAATTGTTCAAATGCATTTGTTGTCTTTTCCTTAATTCACTCCACCCTATTTTTCCCAAAATATTAAAGGCTTATTGGGATCACTTGGATTAAATGGTGTAAATGGACAAGAAGGTCAAAAGGGTTTGCCAGGACCCCCAGGTAAAGAATGAAACATTTTATGCTATGTTTTTAAATTAAAGACAATATCAGGAAACAATAGTTTAAATTTAATAAAATTATGAAGCTTGGCTCCTAATGACATTAGTTACTTCTAATACTAACTAGTAAAGACATGAAATAATTAATATTATTATACAGGAATGTCTACTGAAGGAAACAATTATACTGCAAAAAAAAAAATCAACTGACTGTATTTTGAATGAAACATTCATGATGTAATCAAAAGAAAGGCTAATTATCAGAGAAAACTCTAATGAGTCTTTGTGCATACACATAGTATTACAAGATTACCCATGGTACTTTCCAGCAGCAGCCTCTCACCAATGTTGCTTTGCAGAATTTATTGACCTTAGTTGTCTTTTGGAAGGACTGAAGGATTTGATATCCCAAACAGGAAAGCTGAAAAATCACATATTGAATAAATTTAGCTTCACTTGGATAGAATCAAAGGAAAGAATCATTTATGTCATTAAATCCAACACTCATTCCCTTTCTCTCATTATTATTCTGTTATAAAGGTTTAAGTGAAATGGGACCTCCAGGGTGCACTGGAGAACCAGGGCTAAAAGGTAACAGAGGAGAACCTGGGGTTCCAGGAAGTACCCATCCAGGCCCCCCTGGAGAGAAAGGCCTAAGAGGTCCTCCTGGTAAGTAGTGGATTTCTTAATTAAAAAAAAAATGTCTTTGGTTATCCATGTTGTGGGAAAAATGCCCACTTAAATTATGAACCAAAATGACTGGAGATAAGTGAAACAAAGTATCTTTTGTTGGCATGCACAACTACAGTGATTATGGGGCTCCTCGCTAAAGGAACGCAGAAGAGCCCTGAGCATAGCAAGGTTACAGGCTATATACTTTGGGTTTGTTACAAAGGAATGATGAAAGAAAATATTGCAAATCACAGTATGACCTCTAAACCAGAATGCCTTTGATAAAACATTTGGGGATGACCTTATTTTGGCACCCTACATGCCTCTACGCTATTAGAATTTTATGTTACTGGAATCATCATTTAGTTCTATAATCAATGACTTTATTGTCCTTATATATTGCATCATTTCAC